ACGGAAAAATGTTATACTTGGAGGACACCGGTAAAATGTATAAGCTCCGATACACCAAATTTTTATTTCGCATTCCATCGAAACCCTACTTCGTCATCTGAAAAACTTTAATTTCTAAGATCTCAGCTGAACAACATGAAGCAAGTCCACGTGCGGTGTAACGTGAGTGTTCTATAATGTTTGGGGTAGTATGGGGGAGGTACGGGGGTGTGACGCCTAGAAGGCGCTGACATTTGCCTGCTTGCTCAGCGAGCCATGACGCCACTGATTACTTGCACAATGCTATGGGTCCCTCGGGAACCCCTTCAATCTCGCTATATTCGTCCTTCTTCACTCCATTCCCATCTGATTCCACCACCGCACTCCGGTCATCAGTGGACAACCGGAAACATCATTAGGCCTACAGTGTTGAATAAAAAGTAGTCGAGTTAACTTTAAATTATTATATCTGATACTTGACTTTAAATTTAAGCACCGGGAAGTGCTAATTGGACTAGGATCAAAGTCCCCAGTAAAACGTGGAACGACGTTTATACTATATACTTTCACTCAACCTAGTGTTTAACTTTGATGACTGTCTAAGATTTGTTCAAAATAAAAATTTATGTTTGTTATTTTATTTTCAATTTTGATAAAATCACTAATATATTTCGTTCCAAGAGTACGTAAAAATTAATTATAAACACAAACTAATCGCCCCAAGTCTTTTCATCTGATGTGGAACTTGATAAATAATTAATATGATTTTTTTTATCTTTCTTCATGCGTTTATACCTTCTAATGAACTGTGATATTATTTGTTAAGCACTGTTTTAAATTGAGAGGTTTAATGTAATTTGAGTGTGGTAAATATATATTTACAAGCATTTAATTTATTATTCTACGAGGTCTATTGTAATCTATGTTCCCTATTATTTCAATAAAATACTTGATCACTTGATACTTGAAATTAATTTCAAGATTAATTTTTAAGGAACCTGTCATTGATTGCTGATGCAACCAGAGCTCATTTAATGTTCCTCAATCCGTTCATCAACATATAAACTGTCATATTTGCAATTTAGAACTATCAACAGCAATATCCACACCATACCCACAGCGATCTTTCACACAAAAACGACCGACAAGAAAACCTACTCTGGACAAAACTGATGAATGAGCTTTGCTAATCCGAAGGTCTATTTTGACAACATCATCGTGTACAAATGGAGACACGAGGGCGAGGCGGATGATAACTGTGTCAGTTGGAGCACATTAAAAGCTATGCAAAGTGGGCTCGCGTCACCACCACGACACGACCATCCATCTCGTGGTCAGATCACGAATATCTGGTTTGACCGGTGTTGCAACGATGAGATGGATGCGTGAAATAAACTGACCAGTGTCCAGTACAGATTGGTCGGATTAGATGTTATGATAGGGCGGAGGTGTTGGGCAAGCTGGTGAGGAGTTGCTTGGACGTGAGACGTTGTGTTAGGTCAGAGGATATGATAGAGAAATAATTTGAGTTGTCCTCGGTATATCTTGAGCAATTGCATTAGTGCAGTTAGTGGTAGTGCACGGAACTTTCGTCCCCAAGGTTCCGGGATCAAATCTCGCCAATCACCTAGCCTGGAGTAATGTAAAAAGGTTCCCTAACACTCTAGGATGTGAAGGTGGGAAAAAAGTATTGATAAAGCTACAGGAATCACTGAGTTATGAACATTGGGAAGAATAATCAGGAAACTTAGATACCCTCATTTTACAAAAATCTAATTCCCAAATTCTAAATGAACACAAACATAAACAGCATCGTCAACAGTGATTACCAACATGACGATATATAACATTGAGCGAACAGTTTGGAAACACAATCCATAACTAGGGGAGCGTTTAATCTGAACGTAAAACCAAAGATCGTAACAGGTTGGTAAAATCGGGGACAATAAGAAACAATATTGGTTTGATAAGGGGAGGGGAGGGGCCATCAAAACAGCGCTAACGGGTCCCATATGTTGGGGTGTAAGCCGACACCACCCTTCGGATAAATCATTTCAATCAAAACATTGAGGCGTGAAGCAAACTATCATCCCTACAGATATTAATGTAGTTAGGGTGAAGTGGCTGGTTAAACTGATTCTCATCACCATTGTCGAGTTTATGTTTCGGCAAAATTTTGAAAGAAAAAAAATTAGAAATAGAATTTCAATGGGGAAATTTGGAATAAATGTTTCAAATAAAAATAAAATGGCATAGGGTGTCGTAAAAGTATTTTTCACATTTTCAAATAGATATTTAAAAACTATATTTTTCTAATTTACTATTTAGTAATTGGTGATAGCTTTACTTCAGCTATACCACGCATTTAAGTCCTCTTGTATACGTTTTTTACGAATATTTTGGTAATGTGGTCGCCCAGAATTTAATACCTACGTACGAAAGAATTTAGTTGGTAATTCTATTTAGAAGAAACAATAAATTTTTTTATTGAAGAAGCAGAAGAATTTTTTAAAAATTGCAATGTATCGACTTCTGTGTTCCTACTGTATATTTGAATTTTATCAACATCGACATGTTTGAATTAAAATCAATCAAAAGCAACATAAGATCACTCGGGTATAATTATATGCAACAATTCCGACGTAAATGCTTGGCTGTAGACGTCTGATGCAAATAGACCAGATATTAAAGTAATGACTGCCAGTAAAGGCTATTTATATACAACGATATTAGCGCGTTCGCTTATGTAGATGAGAAGTGTGGCTGCGCCTACATCGTGTACCCATTGGTCAGAGAGTGGGTTGGATGGACTCGGTACAAGTAGGTAGTGTATAACGGCAAACAAGAGCACATCAGTGGTCGGGCGATAGAAACTTGTAAACTTGTAATAATATAGGATCTCTTATTATAGTATTTAACAGGTAAATTTCATTCAATTTTATTATACTTTTGTATAAGAAAAACATCAGTCTGGAAACGAAAACAGAACGAGTTAGTGGAAATATATCTTAAATAGTTTTTAGAATAACAGTAGAACACCATAGTTAGTAGTTGTTGCTAAAATCTTAGGCTCTCGTTGTAAATGGAAAATTACAATAACATTGATTAGGCCAGTATTGATTAAATACAATGCCGGTAGTATTACAAATTTCCAAAGGAATTATTTTCAATTATATGTGCTAGGATAGTTCAATCACCCTTGAAAATACATTTGTACAATATTTTAAAGCTACCGTTCGTCCAAAACACGAGCTATTTTCTTTACCGTTACTATTAAAATGTATCTTTGCCTTGTAAAAATTGCCATTAAAAATACATGAGATGGGCTTTTTAACAACGAGTTGAGGCTACAACGGTCTCTTACCAAATAATTTTAAAATGTGACAGTGTAAAAAATGTATCTCAGCGTGTTTATGATATTGGATGAATTATATGAAATTCAACTGCAATACATTAACTTGCAAACGCTGATTAATTGAACAGCGATGAGTTGTTACTTTCCGAAAAACAAACAAACATGACATGACAAGGTTCCCTGTTATAATATTTCCCTGTAAAGCGTAACTGACAGTAGGGTATGTAAGTAAATCATATTGAAAAGTCAGAAAAGCCAGATTGGAGAGTAAACTGACAGTTGTTTATGCGCCTCCCACACTGCATTCTGCGTCGTACGAGGAGAAATGTGATACAAACCAAACATTACAGCAGAAATTATCGGTTATTATTGAGGCGGAAGTATTTCAGGACCAAACAAATAATAAAATTGAACAAAACAGCATCCGATTTAATGGTGAAAGCGTTTTGGTGTTTAAATTATAGCGATGACTGCTGAATCAGTTGTGTTTCTTTAACTTAAAGTGATATATCAGTTTTACAGTTGAAATAAAAAATTTTCGAAAATTAATGCCTGGTGATAACGTTTTTATGTTAAAATTATTGAAAATAATTTTCTTTGACTACTAAAAAAGGAAATCCAGGGTCCGAGAGGGTGGTTCATTAAAAGCTTACTATAGTGTACAAAGAATACATTTTAGAGGGTTACTTATAATTTAGAGAATAAAATATAATTATAATTTATATAATTAATATAAAACATAATTAGTTTTTACTGACATTTACCACTACATTTACATGTATATTTACATAAGGTGCAATAGACTCGCTACAATACTGGTTGATTATCCGCCCCGGCCGTCAGACTCGTTACGGGCGCAACTTTTTGCCGCCCTCATTTCTGCATTTCATCCTTTGACAGCGCAACAGCGGTGAGAACGCGGCCACTGCTCGCTGATGTTTGGTGTTGAGTTGTACCGTAAACTAAATATTGTGAGGGTCTGATTCTAAGTAGGGTAATCGGGTTTTGTAGCCGTATTGGTACAAACAAACTGACAGTAAATGTAGCAAAACTACATAATGTAACAGCAAAGGATATGATGATTTGAACCAAGAACTTATTACGACAATAAATAACAAATAGTAAAAACAAAATAAAATAATCCAACGCTCTGTTATTGGGGTTTTCCAAAAACCTTCACTGGTTTCAAAAGTTTATTCAATTTAAGCCAAATTAAAAGATGTTTACAATTCGAGGATAATAACGTAAACAATTTTTTTAACATTAAAGTTTTTTTTATAATAGTTGGAAAGAACTTACAATACAACTTGGATACTTTTACAAATGGATTTGTGTGACGTTTTGATTTACGTTCAGGGTTTCCTTGGGTAATTTCAATGTCGGTTAGGGAAATAACAATTTCTTTAACATTCTGAAATAAGTTACCATAATTTTTTAAGAAACTACCAAAGCATCTAGCACAATGTAAACCAATTAAATGTATTATAAATCAGGATATTATTTGTTATATTAAGCATTCGATAACGTGTTATGGAAGAAGAAAATAAGACAAGGAAACACACGCCCGTTAGTTAAAGACACAACATAGTACATCTTGAAGAAATATAACGAAATATAATATGTAAAATAAATAAAACTCAAAATGAAACATACATTTGTGTCGTACCTGTGTGTGCAGCAGCAGCATACTTGGTGAGGCGGGGTGCTGAGGGGGGCCTGAGCGCGTCAACAACACGTCACTGGGGGCCTCCTCCGGACCTGGGAACAACACGACAACATCAGTACAACAACAACACAGCATAAACTGTATATGCTTAAGAGGCCTGAGCGCGTCAACAACACGTCACTGGGGGCCTCCTCCGGACCTGGGAACAACACGACAACATCAGTACCGTACAACACATAGCAAAAACTGTATATGCTGAGGGGGGCCTGAGCGCGTCAACAACACGTCACTGGGGGGCCTCCTCCGGACATGGGAACAACACGACAAAATCAGTACAACAGCTACGACACACAACTGCAAGAACTGAAGGACGCTCGAGCTCGTCAACGACACGACACTAGGGTTTCCTCAACAAAAGATCACTATTTCAAAATTTACGACGTATATGTTGGGTAAATAGTATAAACAAAACAAAATAACACAAAGCCCTCCTTACATAAAAACATTATAACTACGAAGAAACAAAATTAAAGAATAATCCTTTAATCGCAATATTTTTTATTTATCCTCATTGTGAGATTACCTGGACCATTTAAACCAGAGTGACCAACTTCGCAGTAATGTTCAGCAATACACAGTTGACGAGGTGTTAAACCCCTGATAAGTGTGGACCACCCAAGTGATCCAGACCTTGAACATTTATCGCAAACTACCAGACCCAACCCTTGTCGCCTTCTAAGGCGTGACAAATTAGCAAATCCGAATTTAAGAAGGAGGATTTATAGGTCTAATTTGGATTTTTACGCGGTTGACACGAAGGTGACCACTTTTTGCTGCAGACGGTTTTAGCATCTCAGCATCTGCTTGAGTCGCCAGGCAGGAATGGTAATCACCGAGAAGATTGACCGTAAAATTGTCTTGCAACTCCTAACCTGAATTGTGGCTGAAAGGGAAACTGCAAGCGTTGTCGGGTTGTTCTTTTGTCTTCTTTGTGCAAATAAGATTCTACTTAGATTGATCTTGTGTTTGATACAAGGGATAAGTTATTTCAGTAAATAAAAGTACAGTTTGTATTCATAAAAAGTTTTAGAGTGTGTATGAAGAATTTAAGATATAATTTTTTGTAGTACCAATTAGAATCACCAATACAATCTTCTGTAGGTCTCTAGGTTTTCGCAAACGTCTACTTTTTATAAACACTTAAAATATCGATCGGATGCAAAATCCCATTATTTTAATCAAGTTTAACTATCGAATCACTACACGATACAACATATAGGATGTGTCGGACTCAATGTATAGTCTCATGATGTAAAAACGAAGAGCTGAAGAACATTCAGTATTATCATTCTACGTAAATGATGGTAAGAAATCCAAGATGGAAGTGATACACAATTGTCAATTAAGTGTGGTATTTTCTCCCTTTGCAATATTTTTGCCTTGTGCAATGTTCCACTAGACCTACTCAATACTTCCTAAACTCCACGTTTCTTCGCAGAATGAGGATGGATCGTTCAGTCTCTACTCAGTGTGAAAGTTGCCGCGCAATAGAGCCATTTATCAAAAGCGGATTTCTCTTATCATTTGCATCTTTATTATCTATTCCAATATTTACGAAGATCACGCCTTGGTTTAGCGCGCTAATAAACAGATTTCGCACCGATCTGAAGTTAATGGGTTTTCAACTAAGATAAAATCACCAATCGTGTTCAAGGTGAATCTTTTAAATATTGCGATCACGTTGATACAGAAGCCTCCTTGGTGGGTTACTTTTAGCGATGCGAATATGATTTTTTTTCAAAATAGGATGTAATCTTTCGTATCTTTGGATGTAATTTCCTTGTTGCAATAATAAAATAAACTATGTGTGTTTCCGATCACAAATAAATCTAGACAAAAAATCCACAGTGGTAAGAACAAGTTTAGAACACTCAATAAGTAACTTAATGTTGATGAAGTCTCTTCATCTACAATTTGGTACTTTTATAAAATAAGTTTACGTTTTATTGCTCTTTTTGTTAATATTCCTAAAAGCTTTCTGTGAGTAGATGAGAGTGAGCAAAGATTACAGTCACAAAAATAGCTTTAGAAACACACATTTAAACTGGTGGAAATTAATATTTTATAATTGAACTGGTATGAAAGATGATAAAAGGTGATGAAGATGATAAAAATATTTACTATTTTTGGTATTTTCTTAGGAATATATCAATATTTTAATCAAAATAATCCATTTGGAAAATAATAGGTAAATAAGAAAAATAAAAACCCCACAAATGCAGCACTGATCAAATGACCACACATCTATACTATGATGCTCATTTAACTACGGGCCTATATTCAAAAGTTTGATTTTTACATGGTAAAAGTTTCTTAAAAATGAAGATGGTTAACTATGTACAGTATCCATAAAATCATTAAGTAAATCAGGATATCTTTCCAGTAATCGCGAAATGTTCATCCCTATACTAAAGACACACGTTTTGAGGCAGTTTTGAAAGTTAAGACGTTGTAAGAAAACCATTAACTCTATTATTCTGAGGATTTGAAAACTGAATAAGAGTTCACACAACGTACGTACTTCGTTATAACATTAGACACTTAGTTGTTATCTTAAAACTGTTATTGTCTTTTTTTAAATAAAAAAATATATATAATAATTATCTACACATTTTATTTATAATACTAAACTATACAGGTTTACTAGTTAAGAAACTGGTTTATTAAACTTCTCTGTATTTATATTAAAACCAGTCTGAAAAAAGCTAACACCCGCTAAAAATAAGTGAGAAGAATTATAATTTGCTTACAAAGCCAAATCAAAATATTGTGTTTTAGATGGAAAGAAATATTTTTAAACCAGGAGAACTCAAACTTATGACTTACCGGAAGTAGGGTTGATCATCTCCTCTTAGAGGCGCCGCGGCGCGGGGGTTTATATGGGGGACGTCGGTCCCCAGCGTATTGCGCGCGCCACCAACATAACAACATGGCGGACAACTTATGGGGCGTGACAAGTGCAAATTAATTAAGTCAAAATAACCCCCGCTGTTGAGGCTTGGATTACAATATGAGATTGAAAAGTCATCCCTATTGTTCTAATTGTACGAGTCGGAGTGGTCACATTTAATTTTGGAAAATATTTTCTGAAACGGAAATTGTAGAGCGAAGCAAATGTGAACCAAGCACGTATAGTTTTACAGTTGACTGCCAGTAAACAAATTCTTTGCTGTTTCAAACCTGCTGTACCAAACGTTCTATTTAAATTATTGCATTCTTGCGTAAAACCTGTAAAACTCAACTCGACAATATATCATGACGACTCAAAGCTAATTACGGAGCGTGGCAAACAATTGACAACCAGCTGATTTAAGCGATCAGGTGACTCGGGTACCAGCTGATCTCCTTGCCTGGTTGCCGGCAATTACCCGTGATCTATTGTAGCGCAGGGCATTTGCATCTCACAGACATCTATCATGGCGACCACAGCTAAGAGACGAAGGTTAATTAATTGGGGCAAACCGATTACTCAAGCTGTTCACGAGACACTCTGCCAGTTTAGCTGCGGTTAATGCTTTTACTACCGAAATACGTTCTGAACTTATGGATGTTTTAGCAATTTTTATTTCTAATCCTTAAAAATTGTCGTTTGAGATTTTCCTTTACAGGTTTCTTTCGGATCTCGGGAAGTTTGGCTCGGAAATTGTTCCTCGGCCAGTAATATATCAATTGTATTCAGCAAAGTTGTATAGGGAAATTAACATCTAGATAATGATAATCAAGTAACTTATTATTCAACCAACATTAGCTACTTCAGAACAATTTTTATTTGAAAATAATTAAGGGATTGTTTTTATCTATTTTTGAGGCCTAATATTATATTACAATGCATTTAGTGTGCTAATCATAATAAGTACAGAGCTAACCTACGGATTGACAATATTGAAACCTGGCGATTAAAAATATTCTTAACAGAACGTAAGTAGTCACTATCAAAACCACAATTGCATCAATAGACCATCTTAGTCAAGCAAGACATCATATTGCTTCGTTAAAAGCTATGTAAATCTTTAAAATTCAATTACCTGCCTTTTAAACAAGAAGGGTAATGTAAGAAAGACATACGGCTTTTAAAAGGTTAACATAACTTTTAAGTAAAACTACACACGATGTAACTTAAAGGTTTGGTTTGTTAGCATATTTGATTTAGTATGAAACTGTATGATTCAATCATATTTTATGATCAAAATCCAAATAGGCAATCTATCAATTAATATTTTTTCAAACTCGCTATGATCATGCAATAGCTTTAACTTTTTCAATTAATATCTTCAGCCTTAGAGTATCTTTGAAGCACCCGCATAAACCAACGCATATACATGTGGTAAAACTATTACAACTGGCTCAACGTGATTTGCGTACAAGTAAAAGGCGTTTGTCACTTATTGCCCAATAGAAACTTCTGCATATCGGTATAAAGCAATCCCAGAATGACACACTAGATGACGTCATAGACCACGTGTTCACTGACCACAATCCCACACACTGGATGATTTACGCTTGCCTCTCAACCTTCTTCAAGCCCGTTACATTGTCTCCGTTAATTATAACAGTTGCACTGGTTGCATAACAAAATAAATCAGTGATTGCGGTGCCATAGGTGGCGAGAGCCTTATAGAGATCCAACACTGATCCTTATCGGAAATGGCACAATTTGTCCTTAGCGCGGCTCCTTAGCGTTGGTGTCCTGCAGGGCTCTGTGTTTGGACCGGTTTTCTTTATTCGCCAATTTGGTTCGCACTTTCAAAGATGGGGATGGAGGACTAATTGGCGTTTCGATAGTAAGCTATTTGGTGAGAGGCTTCGGCAAAATGTTGGTTTTACCGAATATAACATATAATCGTTAAATAATATGCAGCGCGTAAAAGCCAATATCTGAACAAACCCCTTTTCCGTAGTCGAGACCAGTGTTAACACAGCTTATAACTTCCTGGTGAGCAATTTCCTTAATTGATCCGTTACTCACTATCAGATCAGTGTTACCAACTACAATTATCAGCGTGACAGATAATCGACATTTATCAAATGAGAA